AATTCCTTTTGAGAATGTTCTTACTTACTTTCTCTAATGTTGTTTACTTATTTATTTTGTACTTGTTTAGCTTTGGAGGTGAAAAGGATACTTTAAAATAATTTTAAAAATAATAATTGTGTTTATGTGCATAAATTCATCTCCTTTATCCCCCATTCTCCTGGCTTACCAGACGGAAGACAATAGGCCCTGTGGGCCAGGCCCTTGTTTTCTAAGAGAAACCCTTGCTAGGGGACAGACTGTTTTTGTCATGCCGCACAGTCACATAACCGTTCTGTGTACTGGTTTCCACACCGTAAAACAGGAGCGGCACCTCCCCACCCACCCTGACGTCTGTCGAGTATAATGACCCTTAAGTGGAACTGGGTGTTTTATTTCTATCTGGAGGTAAAACACTCACTGATAAATAAAAGTAACCCCAAATGGCCACCTTAGTTGTTTCAAATGGCTCCAACGGAAAAGGCAACATGTCCTGGAAACTGTAAACCCCCTGCTGCCCCTGACGGAGGCTCAGCAGCCTCACCGGAATCCACTTTTCTCCTCTCATTTCACCTCCGCAGGCTCGGCCATTTCCCGTTCTGACTCAGAAGGATGCAAGATGGTGTCACGAACACTGGGCATCTTGTTTTGGGCTGTTTTAAATTTTGCTCGTACACAAACAGGTTTTTCAAAAACGTTGCCAGGGTTTGCTACGTTGTGATCTCCCACCTCCACTTCCCACACAGCCGGGACTGCAGGTGTGCACAAGGCAACCCTGCCTTTATGGTAGTCCAGGGAGCAAGCTCACCTCCATGTGGTCTCAGCCTGCCAAGTAGAAGTGTCTACCAAAAACTATATTTATGTATTTTAGCATAGAAAAATGTCATGACTTTACAAAGGACATAATACATATACACACATACACATGCACACACATATAAGTGAGACTAAACGCCCACAGAAAGTACTTCTTACAATGAAACTGGGTATCTCCACGAACCCCAGCATTAGTGGAGACAAAGCCCTTTGCAAGCCCTAGACCTGCAGAATACCAACGCTGGCATGAGAGGAAGGAGAGGAGACAAAGACTGCCAGCCCACAGGAGAGGAAAACCCCGTGGCACTGACAGGCGTGGGCTAGGAAGCAGGTGGGCCGAGTGGAGAGCAGCAGAGCACCCGGGGGTTGCCCAGCACAGTGGCAGCTCATGCAGGGACCCAGTCAGAAGGATGAGGGCTAGAGTGTCCCAGCACTGACAGACTCTCGAAACTGGCCCAGAGTCTCCTTCCAGGATGGGACCTACACTAGGAGAAACTGTTGGCTTTCGAATGGAACTGAACTGGAAAGAAACCATGTAGAAAGTCTAGATACAAGTGGGTGAGAGAAGAGTCAGAAAGTCTTGGAAAACAAGCTGCCATATTTTGTTTAACGTCACACAAAACAATGAAAGGAGCTCCGTGCATTTAGGAAAAACGACCCTGAGCCACCTCTCTTCCTGAGTCTTTGAAAGTAATTTCACATAAAAATGAGCAATGGAAATGCATCCAGGTCAACTCCCATACAACATTTTTATAAGGAAAAAAAAAGAATAAGGAACAGAATAACACCATACAGATAGTAAAAGCATGCCAGGAAGTCATGCCAAAACAAGAGAACAAATTAAAACATAACATATAATTTCCAAGTGATCTGAGGCATTCATAAAATTACATAAGACATAAAAGAACAACACATATCAGAATTTTTAAAAACTCAAAAATGGAATAACAGGGCTCAGGGAAGAATAAAAGAGTTATCAGAGAAAAGAAGTTTAATAGGATGAATACGAGAATGGGTAAAAACAACAGATGATGTCTTAGACGATGTGAAAAGGAGGGACAATTCTAGGACAGAAAACACATGACTCCAAAGCATTCAGGAGATAGGGACGACATCAAAGACAGGGAAAGGAGGGTCAAAGTGGGATACTAGCAATCTTAGCAGAAGGAAGGCAAATGAAGGCCTGAACGCCTGCTAAGAGGGTCCTGAAACTAGAAAATACGTGGATGTGAAATCACACATTAGACACACACGACGTGCTCAGAGCATCGATACCCAGCACTGACACTACGAAATAGTCTAGTTACATCATTCAATTTTATAGGATAAAGAAAAGAATCCTTTGCACGTCAAGGCAAAAACAGCAACTGACCTATAAAGAAAAGGAAAATTAGATGTCGCTGGGCTTTTTGATAACATATTTAAGATGTGCAGAGAAAGAAAATACCAAGGATTTTTACATCCGGAAGAAAACAGCTCCTTTAAGAACACAGAGGACACAAGCAGGCTATTATCCACATGCGCGGATTTAGGGGCGATTGTTCCAATGAGCCTTCCTGAAGAATGAGCGTCAGACAACTCAACTAGAGTGGGGCCACCCACGGGCCTCACAAACATTAATCAAGCAGTGGCTGATGGAGCTAGGCTAAGTGGGGTGAAAAGGGAATGGGAGTGAGTGTATCTAATGGCTACCTGCTCAGATAACATGGTATAATGATTACAAAGGGTAGAGAAATGGGAACAGTAAACGTGAAAAAACAATTTGAACTGCTCTTGATTACAAAATATATTAATGACGGTAGTATTAGAATTGATATTCTGAAACCGTTATATGCGTCATGAGGGGTAGATAAATGGGTAATTATCAGCTATTTTAATTCTATCGTCTCTGTCCTTGGGAATTCCTACTCTGAGTGGGAAGAGGAGCGACGTATAGAAAGGAGGAGATCCAGGGGCTGGAGAGTGTGGTCTTGGAAACTGATGGAAGATAAATCAGGCTTCAACCCTGCCTTTCCTGTGTGAGCAATACCACTTGGTACTGCGAAAAATGATGACAATGAGGGAAAAGGTATAAAGCATATTTTAATTAACAAATGAAAGATATACTATTAACAATTTGAACCCCGATAAATCAGTAGGTCTCATCATTGAACATCAATTGGGAGAGAGAAAGAGAGAGAGAAAGAGAGGGAAGCAACCACTTATGCAGGCCTCCTGACACACGAAGACGCTATCACTTACGCTTTTGCCAACTGAATCAAACTGGAGTCTGATTAAGCCTCCAGACCCAACACCAGTTTTCAGGAAACACAGAGCACAGGGTGGCACGTTCTGGTCCACCCCAGGCACGCGGTCAGCACAGTCCAGTCCGGACTCTGCAGAACACTGCAGGCCAAACACCTCCGCTAAGTTGCAAGTAAAGGAAGGGGAATGTGGGTTAAAATAGACTTAAAAGAAACGTCACAAACAAACAACAGTTGGGCGAGACCATGGTGTCTGGGATGCCCAGCTGGGTGACAGAGCTGAAGAAAGGAGCTGGCTGCGGTCAAACCCAGGGCGTTCTTCTGCTGAACAAGATGATGGGATGGCGCACACGGATGGGACTTTAGGGAGCCCTTCTGCTGCTTCTGAGCTGGGCTATATGAGAATACTTGCAAAGCTATGGATTTACTTTGCATTGTTTTCTAGGTTTGTTTTTTTTTTTAACCAAGCAAGATTTTTTAAAATCACCAGCAGAACAATACTACATTATTAATGGATTCGTACAAATGAATGTGTAAGTAGCTAGCAGACAAGAATGATGCCCACTAAGTTCATGTGAGTGGTTCTTTCTAGGGATGTGGGGAGAAAATGGAATGTGGGGGGAGGGAACCCCAAGAGTGCTTCAAGTTTATCTGCCATTTTTTCATTTGATGAAGGAAAAACTTGATGTGAAAATGTGACCTTTTTAGTTGTGGAAAACTGGGCCACTACAAACACACTGCATGTATTCGCTCCCCCGGCCCGTGTCTCTGAATTCCGAACGCAGTCTGAATGTGCAGGGCGATGCACGCAATGAATCGTCTGGCACGCCCTGGGGCTGTCAGCACGGCGTGCTACAGTAGGTCATCCAACAACCCAATAGATTGAGGATACAATAAATGTGCTCCACAGACCACGGGTACCGTCACTGCGAGTCAAGCTCCCTTACTTCACAGGAGAAGTAATGGAGGCATCCTTGTAAATTAGTTTCCATTAAGCAAATGAAAATTTCACTCTCAAAGTTTATTAATTGACTATTCATGTAATGGTTTTCTGTAAGGGAAATAGAATTAAGATTTTGTTTTTGCTAAGACTGAAAAACAAATATATAACTTGTTTGAACCACCAGAGAGTTCTTTCTTTTGTGTGATAGGTAAGGGACTTTGCTGACATCAGCTAAAGATCAATGGGATGGGGACCAGCAGATGGTGTCCTGGTTATGCTGCTGGCCTGCCACATGGCTGACCATGGATCGAGTCCTGGACCTGGTGGCCTGAAAATCACAGCAGGCATAGGTACGTGCCTGCCCAAGATCCTTCTCCTCCCAGGATCTTGGGCACCCGAGAATGGAGGAGAAGGGATGGTGGCATGGCTGTCTTCCCTGGGGGTGATTTCTCACTTTCCCTCTCACTGTGTCTGTCTGTCTCTCTCTCTAGTGAGCACATGCGCCCTAAGGCAAAAACAAACAAAAAAACCCCAAAGCAACAAAAAACCTCTAAAAAAAAATTAATGGAATGTTTCTGATTATTTTCCCATTCACGGTTTTGAGACCAGTTGTCTTTTCCACCTAAAGCTCTGTGTTGTTAAGGCCGTATGTGCATCTGGGTATGCATGTGTCAGTCAAATTAACATAAATTATTCATTATTTTGACTTCATAGTACTTAGACAGTGCTCACCAGTCGGACAAATCATTATTAACGTGACATAGAGCGACAATGGGCCACTCAACATTTATTTCCTAAATGTCTGCAGCAGTTTCATCCTGCCGACATGAAGAGTGACTGTCAGGGAGAAACTGCCTGAGTTTCTTTTGCTTAATTTCTATGAACCCCATGAAAATATAAACACACAGGGGTAACGCGGTTTCTGCTCTGCGAGCCCGTGCAGGCTGAGCACGCACTGTGGCGACCGTGACTGTGAGTGAGAGGCGGCAGGCCCACAGCGGGGCGGCCCACATACTCACCAGGCAGGTACCTGCACAGTCTCTCCATTGTGGCCTGCACCGTGGAGTTGTGAACCTGAGCCAGCTGTTCGAGCACCGATACCACCAGCACACACCCTGCAGGAGGAGAGGGCACGTCAGACCGGCACAGGACGGGGTGGGGGTCAAGGGAGAGGTGGGGTGGGGGGTGTCCTTATGCATGCCACCTTAAAGTGCTCCTCATCTATGTTTACGTGTTTATTATTACATGTAATCACTGTACGTCTTCACAGCGTACATGGTGTTTCCCAGCACGAACACAGTGCCTATCAGTCACCATGTTACCAGATTCATTATCATCACAAATAACTGTGTTCATGTTAATTAAGCGCATCTTTCCCCTGCTCCTTTCCCACCCTCCCCCTCGCACTCATGCCCCAATCCCCCCTCCCACACTCTAGTATCTGCCGTTGCCCTCCCTGCTTCTAGACCTCCAACCCTCCCATTTCTGCTATAGAGCACAGACATCCGGTATGTACTGAAAGCCCGTCTTTCAGGGTCTGGTTTGCTTCGCTTAGCATTATGTCTTCCATATTTGTCCACTTTGTAGCATTATTTACCATGGCGAGGACATGGACTCAACCCAAATGTCCAAAAATAGAGCATATTGAAAAAAATGTGGCACATGTACTCCATGGAATACTACTTAGCCTTAAAAAACAATGAAACCCTGACATTTGATACAAAGTGGACAAATAAAGAAGACTTAAGATATTCATAAAGAAGAGAATCAGGGTCAAATTTTTAATTTTGGAAAAGTGGTACAAATTGACCAGCATTTGAGATCAGGGGTGCGCCCTGTACTCAGCAGTTGAGCTCTGTATAGAAAACTGGATCCCACATGGCAGACTGTGGTTTGAACCTCAGCCCTGGTGGCTTGAAAAACATGCCAGCTACATGTACGTGTGTGTGTGTGTGTGTGTGTGTGTGTGTGTGTCCAAAATCCTGAAAGAAGGGAGAGATGGAGGAGAAGAGATCACAACATGACCACATTTTACTAGAGGTGGGTGGGTGATTTCTTTCTCTTTCTCTCTGGAAAGCACAAGTACCCACTGGCAATTAAGAAAAAAAACCTTTATGAATAATTGAAAAAAGAGAATATCAGCCTTTTCAGAACACAGAACTTTTTTTTTTTTAATATTTGCATTTTAAAATCTACCACCTGCATGAATCCACTGACTTGTACCATATTAGGGGTCTTCAAAACAATTCATGAAAAACGTGTACTATGTAAAAATGTGTGGATTTAAAACTTTTTCCCCACCCAAGTACACTTGAACTTCAACCCATTTTTCCACAAACACTGAGGCACCCATGGCATCCATGGGGTCGGGGCTCAGGAAGTCTGGGTTGTTAGCCCACTTTCTGACACTAGTGACAATGAGACTTAGCAGAGGTATCTAATCTCGCTTCATTTCCATTTTTATCCAGGTCTGTGGGAGAGAGAGATGATGTTTAAATACAAGGCTGCAAGAAAAACAGCCTGCTCGGAGTGGAAGCTCAGTAGACATAACCTCTCACCTTTCCCTCCTCCCACCACAGACAACGCAACCATGATGGGATCTTTCCTACCCTGCACCATCTCCTGTGTCGGATTTTAATTTTGGAAAAGTGGTAGCAATTGCCCAGCACCTGAGGTCAGAGACCTGAGACTGAAGCCTCGGAATCTCAGACGCACCCTCCGGCTCGCTGGGCCGTGGTTCACTCCTGGCAAGGAAGTGGAACTGCTGCTTTAATGGAGTGAGAAGGTGTGGCTGTGTGTGCCTCTGCGGTCAGAACACCTCTGAAATGTCACTGCCTCGCAACCGCAAGGCGCCCCGCGCGAAGACGTACCAACACGGGAAGTGCCCAGAGTCCAGCGGACCGGTTGGGGATCACTCCTCCCACTGCTCTGATACGTGCTGCACGTGCACCCCGGGCTGCTAGCCTGACTGCCTAGAAGGTTCTGGCACCTGCCTTGGTGAAAGAGCTGAGGACGCCGAGACCTCCTTCTTCCAAAGGGAAGGGACTCTTTCTCCTGAACGCAGATGGACAAGGGGGGAGCTTGTCGGACCTCGTTGAGATGCGTGAAGTGGGTGTGTAGGAGGGGGCTTCACAAGTTCACGGGGAGACAGCATTAAGTACAACTTTATTTTGGTGCAAAAAGAAATTCCTTCAAAATTCACGCATTTTTTTTTGTAATATTTTCCATGAACATTTTAGAAACCCTTCATATTAGTGGAAGTTCCTTTATTCTTTTCTTTTTGTTTCTTTTCTTTTCTTCTCTCTCTCTTTTTTTTTTTTTTTTTGACTAGAGGGCGTGTGTGCTCACCAGAGAGAGAAAGCAGGACAAAAACAGAGGGAGAGGAGAGAGCACCAAACGGCAGTCCCTGTGGGGAATCCTCCTCCATCTGGCCCTCTGTTTGGGATGTTGGGCAGGCAGATACACTTGCCCACCATAGTTTTGAAGCCACCAGGTCCAGGACTTGAAGGGTGTGGTGAGCCATGTGGGATCTGGCTGCCTTGCCACCAGGCCGTGGGGATGGCCCCAGTGGGCATTGTCTGTAAGGAGGCAGAGGAAGCCTCCCCTCCAACGTGAAGGCGTTTCAGGGTGCCCGGGCCAGTGGAAGCTCACTGTTATCCATGTGCTTGGGAAATGGGGACTCCAGAGCTGAACAGAGAAAGGCTTTGAGAAAGTCAACACAAAATGGGTTCAAATACTGGTTCAGCCACTTACAAAAGTATGACTTTGGTAAGTTGCCTGCCCTTCTAGAACTTTATGTCTACAAGTTTAGAGTTAGAGCGTAAGTTCCTTGAGACAGGAATGGCGTCTTACCGTCTCTAACCGTGAGTGCCGGCACAGAGCCTCGTTTGAAGAATGGAGGCAAGAGACGTTTACTGGCTTGGAGGGAGTGAACTTCAGAGCCACCTGGGTAACGTGTCGGTGGCCCTTTGCTGGAGGTCTCCCTAGGAGAGGGCTAGTGGATGCCCCTGCTCCGGCTTCTCAGATCAGTCATCCTACCCGTTTGCCTCCCCTGGTCCCATCTCCAGTTCTGAACACGGCTCCACTTCCCTTCTGGTGGGAAACAGCCAGTACCTTCTCCGTTCAAACAGTAGATTCTGTAGCGGATGCTCGTGACTGGAAGAGAGCACGGTGGAGACTGGGGCTTGGCTTAGTCTGCACCTGCTGCTACAGTAAACATTAGACTGAGCCATTTATGAGTTGTGGGAATTTACTTCATACTCTTGGAGAGACGGCATGGCACCAGCACGTCTCGTGTCTGGCCAGGGCTCACTTTCTGTGTCCTAGGTGCCATTTCTTCCTCCCTCACCTGTTGGAAGGGACACAAGGGCACAACACCTGGAGGACAGGCAGACGGGGTCACAGGGTCCTGCAGTTCTCGGAAGCCTCTTTTGTAAGGGCATTAATTCGATCACCACTGAGTCCTCATGACCTAATCACCTTTCCGAAGGCCCGCCTCGTAACACCAGCACAGTGGGGATTAAGTTTCAACGTGAATTTAGAGGGACACAAACATTCAAACCATAGCAGGTGAACTTGCACCGGGACCACATCCTACGGAATATTATCAAGGAGCTGCAGAGTGTGGCACCCAGAGGGAACTTGGGTGGGCGTGGGGGTTTGGAGGCGACATTAGGTGACCTGGTGCAGGCACTGAGCGAAGGAGTTTCCAGCTGTGGGACTGCCCTTCGACCTAGCCTGCTGCGGTTTTCTTCCCGCCTTAAACACTGCGGGAAACGTTGACTGCGCGTCTCGGTTTGATACAGTTTGTAATGATTCAAAACATTTTCCACAGGTACTTTTAAAGGAAAGAAACCAATGAGGAATGATCTGGGGACTTAAGGGACTGAGGTGGATGCAAGCACCTGAGGTGTGCCCCGACCGTCTGCACACACCGTGAGGGTAGGATACGTATTTACAAAGGAATGAGGTGGGGCCACCTCCATGATCTTGTCTTGTTGAGGTGAAGGGGTGAAGGAGAACAGAAGACGGTGGTGGGTGGTGCTGTGTCAGTTCCCCTGAGTGGTCCATCCTTGAGGCACCAAATATTTGGTGGGATCAGAAGTTAGCACATTCGGGGACCAGCAGTTAGCACAATGGCTATGTCTCTGGACTCCCACATAGTCGACCGCGGTTCAAATTCCAGACCCGGCGACTTAAACTCATGCAGGGCACGTGTGTGTGCGTGCCCAAGATCCCGAGAGAAGGGATTGCGGCGTGACCATCCCCCCTGGGGGGTGATTTCTCGCTTTCTGTCTTTCTGTCTCTCTCTGTCTGTCTGGCGAGCATACTCACCCTATAGCAAAACAAAACAAAACAAAACAAAAACAAATAACCTCTCCAAAAAAAAAAAAAAAGTTAGCACATTCGCTCCTCTGAGAGAACTGCGTACTCTGCAGGGAGTGAGTTTTATCCCCACCATCCCCGTGTTTCATGGGCTATTTCTACCCTCTCCTCCTTTGCTGTGGTCCCCTGTGAATGACTCAAGATCCCCCTCAAACTCCATAATCCTTGTGAAACCTCCCTTCCTTCGTCCATCAGGATTTGTAGCACACTCTCCCCTACTGCCCCGGGACCGTATAGCCATCCCGTGGACGGGCATTCCCCTACGGCCCCGGGACCGTATAGCCATCCCGTGGACTGGACGGAATGCTGTTCTGACTTCCACCCTCCTGAAATCACCTTCCTTAAGAGAAAAGTCAATGTCTTACCCCTCCCTTCCAGGGTCTAGCCTCCTGCTTGGTACTCGAGCTCAACGTGCACTTACTGAGTGGGTGAGTGAAAACAAAACAAAGTCATGGAGAACACCTTCTAGACCTCTGGGAAATGGGACCGTCTCTTCACAGAGAAGCTGCCAGCTGCTCTCTTTTCTCCCTCGCAGAGGCAGAAGCCCCATATGCAGTGCCTCCTATCAGAGGGGTCTTCCAAGCCTGGTTTTCACTAAGGAAGTATGCATTCACCAATAGCTACTGAGTACCTGTTCTAGGCAAGAGACTGCCAGGCTTTGACGGGCTCCCAGACGGGCAGAATGTGATCCCTGGCCACATTTACGTGGACTGGATAGCAAACAGTAGTC